ATCCCATTCCATGGGCAGGGACACCTCCCACTGTCCCAGGCTGCTCCAGCCTGGCCTTGGGCACTGCCAGGGGCAGCCACAGCTGCTCTGGGAATTCCAGCCCAGCCCCTCCCAGCCAGGAATTCCTTCCCAATATCTCATTTATGATCTCTGTGCTGTGGGATCCAGAAGATTCCCAAGAACAATCCAGTACCAGGGTTGTTATTCCCATGTTTTATGGGCAAAACCCTTTGTTTCAAAAAGAATCCTCATCAAATTGTTTCTACATTTCCAATGATGTTTGGAAAGGTCCCTGAGAAAATGGGATGTGATGCTGGAATCATGCTCTGTTCCTGGTGTGGATTGCTTTTGGGATTTAAAGGAAGTGATGCTTCATCCTCCATTCCTAAAACTGAGGAATCTCAGTGGCATCCATAGGAGAATATTCCTATTTTAAATAATTCAAACCACTTTATATTTTTTATCCAGCTCAGTTTCTGGGCCAGCTCTTGGGATTCTGTGGAGAAGGGGCTGAATTTCCCTGGAGATACGGAGAGGTCCTTGGGAATCTTTGCAGGGAGCAGAGTGCAGAGATGAGACCATCCATGAGGGATGCTTATCCCAGGGATCTGTATCCCATTCCATAGCAATGGGATTTGGGAGAAGAAGGTGTTTCTTCACCTGAAAAGGGAGCTCCTGCTCCCAGGTGGGTTTGTAATTCCTGACAGATCCCAAAGTTACTCCTGGGAGCACTGGCTGCCACAGGAACCAGCTGTGGATCCAAAGGAGAGGGAGATTATCCCTAAAGGATGGCAGAAATAGGAATTCCCATTCCTTGACTTGCAGCAAACAGGGAGCCGTTGTTGGAAGGAGGAAGATGAAGATTCTCTGTCCTTCCTGTGTCCCTGCACCGGCACAGGAGGAATTTGCACATCCGTTGGAGCTGCCACCACCTTTTCCACCGATCTGTACTTCCCGTTTTTCCATCCACACCTCAAAATGAGACATTTCCAACTGATGTTCCAAGGACAGTCGTTTTTCCTGCTGTTAGAGAGCCATCCCAGATAAAAAGAGAGAGGCAGAACCTGCTGGGAGAGCAGAGTGAGAAAGCTGAAGGGAGAAAATGCCCAGATTCCAGAGCATCCCCTGCTCTCCTGACAGGACTTTGTTCCTTCATTCCCAGTTTTTACCTCCTGCCAGTCACTTCATGGAATCACACAATGGTTTGGGTTGGGAAGGACCTTAAAGCTCATCCTGTTCCATCCCCTATAAGGCAAATCCCGAGCATTTTTGGAGGATTCAGCTTGTCCTTCATCCTTGGAAGTGTCCAAGGCCAGGCTGGACAGAGCTTGAAGAAATCTGGGATAGTGGAAGGTGGCAGGAGTGGAATGGGGTGGGATTTAAGGTCCCTTACGACCCAAGCCAGGCCATGATTCCATAATGATTTAATTTAACGTAATATTACAAGATAACATTACAAAAACATGAATGTAAATAAAAATACAGATATCCAGTTCTCCTCCTGTTTTTCCAGGAAGTTTGAACGTTTACCTGCGGCTCAAAGGTCAGACTGCCATAGAAAACCCCTTGTGGTCTTCGAGTGGGAATAAGGGACAGCACTGGAACCAAGCCCGGGTGAACATCAACCCCCCCACCTCATTCCAGGTAAGGCTGGCGCCTCCAGGAGCCGGGAATTCGGGGCTGGGAGGGAGACTGGGAATATTGATGCTTTTCTTTGGGATTTCCCAGCTCTGGAAGCTGCTCAAGGACAGAAAATTGCTTTCCTTGAGCACCACAGAACTTAACAATGCTTGAATTCAAAACACTTTCCAGCTTCCCAAAGAGGTCTGGAGTGACTCCAGCAGGTTTTGATTTCAGATTAGCAAGTGGAATATAAAATTATTTGCTGGGAGAAATTACTTAGGGCCCCTGTGTTAGAGGTTTTTTTGGAAATATGTGGAATTTCTGAGGGAAAAGGGATGATGTGGGAGTGCCTGCTGGGAGCATGAGACACGGGGGGCTTGTGACAGGTTTTTCACACATTTCCTGCTGGGGTTGACAGGGAGGTGCTGATGGACCTTTAGGGGCAATTCCCAGGCACGATAGGAGCTGTTTGGAACTGGAACACTCCCAAAAAAGCAGCTGCTGCCAGCAGGTCCTGCTGTGGGTGAGGCTGGGAATGTCCTCATGGAATGTGGGAGTCACAAGCCATGCCCGGAGTGCAGGGTCCTCCTCTGACCTCTCTGTCACTTCCGGGTCTCCTAAGGGAGAAAATGTATTTTTGGGAAAAAGTCACAGATTGCTTTGGGTTTGAAGTGACCTTGAATCCCATCTCATTGAATCCCATCCCACTGAATCCCATCCCACTGAATCCCATCCCAATCAATCCCATCCCAATCAATCCCATCCCAATCAATCCCATCCCAATCAATCCCATCCCATTCAATCCCATCTCAATCAATCCCATCCCACCTGTGCCATGGCCAGGGACACTTCCCACTATCCCAGGCTGCTCCATGCCCTGTCCAGCCTGACCTTGGAAGATTCCCTTCGGTGCAAATCCAAACTGCCCTTCTGAAAATCCACATTGGGTTTCATTTCCTTTATTTTCAGGGAATTCCTGATCCTGACCCTTTGTTTTTATTTCCATGCATGAGAGGCATTGACGGGAGAGAAATGGTTTGGTCCATGGGATTGCAGAGCAATTCCAATGGGAATTAGAGGAAAATTGAGTGGGAGGGATACGTGAAGTACAGTGAGATATGAGAGAGCTGGGAATGTTCACCTGGAGAGGAGAAGGATCCAGGGAGAGCTCAGAGCCCCTTGCAGGGCCTGAAGGGGCTCCAGGAGAGCTGGAGAGGGACTGGGGACAAGGGATGGAGGGACAGGACACAGGGAATGGCTCCCAGTGCCAGAGGGCAGGGATGGACGGGAGATAATTGGGAATTGGGAATTGCTGGCTGGGCTGGAATTGCCAGAGCAGCTGTGGCTGCCCCTGGATCCCTGGCAGTGCCCAAGGCCAGGCTGGACATTGGGGCTGGAGCAGCCTGGGACAGTGGGAGGTGTTCCAGGCTGGGAGTGATGATCTGGGATGTTTGATGGGAACAAGGTGTCAGGAATGGGGAGAAGAGGAATTGCAGAGTTCAGGAATTCTCAGAGCCCAGGCCAAGCACAGGAAGATCAGAGTGGTTGAGTTTTTCATTGGTGGAGTCAGGATAAATCCAAGAATTCAGAAGAGTGAAGGAGAGAGAAGTGATTTAATAACTGAACACCATAAATGCCCTGGGAAAGGGAAAGAAGAGATGGATTTGAGGGTTCCCAGGGGGTTTTGGAGACCTGGGATGGGCTTTAAAAAATCAGGGAAGAGCCAGACCCTTGGGCAGGGAAATGCAAAGGATTTGGCAGCAGCAATCCAGAGGAGTGGAGAAGGGAGATTCCAAAGGGAAGCTCCTCTCCTTGGCTGTTTTTCACCTTTTGCGTTGTTGTGTTTAAAGGTTCCAGCATAAAATAAATGTAAAGCTCTGACCAAATACAACAAATAAATGTCAGAGCTCTTGGAGCCTTAAATTACTTTTTTTTTAGCATCTCTTGCATCAAAGTAAATTTTATTTTCCATTTAGGAGTGTAAGTAGGAAGGGATATAAAGCTCCCAGTTAAATTTAAGGAGAGGGAATGGAAGTGAATCTTTGCAGTAAAACACTGCAGTGACATGAAAATTAAAACTTTTTATAGGGTAATTTATAGGGGTAAAAGATTTTATACCTTGTCAGTGCCTGTGATATAGAACAAAGCTTTTTTCATGAGGAACTGGGAGAACTGCAGTGCTTTAAATCACAAAAACTTGCATAAATCTAGCTCAGATATTCAGATGTTCAATATTTTTTAAGACTGAACTCCCCAAAAATAGAGAGCCCCAAAAACAGAGGGACACCTTGGTTCTGTCACCCAGGAAATGTCAATTTTAGTTCAGGTTTGAGCCGTAGGACACGGCGATGGCATGGATGATTGGGATTGGATTTATTGCTAGTTTAGGGTCTAAATAATGCAGTATCCAAATAAAAATTCCAGGATTTTTCACAAAGGATTGCGATCAGCAGGTCCTGGCCCCTCTTGTTGGGTCAGTGCCACCCCCTCTTGTCTGAGCTCTGGATGGGGCTCAGCCCACCCAGATTTCGCCACTTTTGTGTCCAAAGAATTCCAATATCAGCAGGATGAGCCAGGAACATCCAGGTTTGCGGCTCTTGTCCCCGCAGGATTCCCAATCCCAAATCACAAACCTCTTGTGGAGCTCCTTTAGGATTCATCTCCGCGTTTGAATGATCTCGGTGCTGTCACTCACCCACCCAGAAGGGAATATTCCCAATTTTCAGGCTGGAGGAGTCCCTGGCAGGGGTAACATGGAACACCAGTTTGTCCCAGTTTTCCCAGTCTCCAGCAGCATTTTAACCCCTTTTTCAGGTCGATGTGCACCAAAGTGAAACCTCTCATCTCCCCACTTCTGTCCTGGGACACCCCAAGTGCCCTGCAGGGAAAGGGAGATGGGTGAGGGGGGCACACAGGGGAGGATGTAAATCTGCCTGAAATCCTGTGGAAAAATCAGAGAATCCCAGACTGGTTTGGGATGGAAGGGATTAAAAATCCACTCATTCCACCCCTGCCGTGTCAGGGACACCTTCCATATCCCAGGCTGCTCCAAGCGCTGTCCAGCCTGGCCTTGGACACTTCCAAGGATGAGGCAGAAGCTGAATCCTTCCCCAAAACACTCAGGATTGGCTTTTTAGGATCATGATTCCATTTCATTAAGAGCAGAGCGACCTTTCCCGTACCCCCTATTCTCCAGTTTTTTAACAGCAGTATTTTTAACAGCAGCTCCCCAAAAACCATCATGGGGTTTGTTTTTTGTGGGATACTGATAGGGAATTCTGCTCCACTGGCAGCTCCTGGCCATCCCTGGGAGCTGCAGGCTGGGTTCTGCTCCGTGCCCTGCCAACTCCTGCGCCGTGATTTGTTCTGAGTGTGGAGCAACCCCTCCCTGAGGGCCACCGAAACCACTGCCAAACGCAGCTTTTAATTAAACGCTGCCTGTTGTGTTTGGACAGAGCCCTTTAGGCTGGAAATTGTTTTCCATTGTCTGGAAAAATTGGACTTTCAACTCCACTGATTGGTGTTGTTCCTGCTGCCAAGGAGCAGGGGCAGGATTTTGGGGGAGGAGATGTTTTCCCCTCGAGTTCCTCTTCCAGCAGTTTGGTTTCAGACGAGGAATATTGGAGAGAAAATCATCAACAAGACTTTAAAATCCCAGTCATCCACTCAGCAGAGGTTAAAGTTCCTCTTAAATTGGAATCAAATCTCTACTGTGTCCCTTGCTGTGATAAAACTCATCCCAATTCCTCTGAAAAGCCATTCCTAGATGGAATCAAAGCTTCTGAACCTGATGAGAACCCTTGTGTTGGGAAAAATAGATCCTAGCATGGAATTTCCTTCCACAATCTGGAATTGGATACTTGCGTGTGTCTTCATTTGAAGAAAAGTCCTTTCTTTTTGTGCTGTTTTAAAAAGGGTGGGACAGAAGTGGGGCTGTCCCTGCCACCAATTCCTGCCCCAGCAGGAGATCTGGGAAGTTAAAATGCATCCAGGAGATCCCAGTGGGATCCAAACGAAAGGAATTCCCTTCCCTTGAGGAATTATCTTCCCCTGAGATAAAGATAACTTTGTGTTATGGATGCAGAGATGCCAGCCTGGATCCTGGGAGGTTTCTCCCAAGCTTTGGGTCTGGAGAAGGATGCAGGGGACACATCCTGTCCTGCCCACCAGGATGGGAGGGACCGGTTGGGTCACCTCCAAGAGCCAGAAATCTCGGTTTTCCATGGAATTTCTCTGGCTCCTGTGTGTTTTCATGGAATCTGAACCTGAGTGGATGCTCAGTCGTTCAGCACATTCCTCAAGCTGTGCCTTTGCTGCTCGCCTCAGGTGGCAGGAATTTCTGGGAAAAACAATCTCCTTAAAGCTTTAATTCCGTGGAATCCTGCTCTTGGCCAGAAATCTCAGTTTTCTGTAGAATTTCTCTGGCTCCTGAGTCTGAATGGAATCTGAATTTGAGTGGACACTCAGTCCTTCAACACATTCCTCAAGTTTTGCTCTTCAGGGAGCAGGAATTTCTGGGAAAAACACCTCCAGTTTTAATGCTTTAATTCCATGGAATCCTACTCTTTGCCAGAAATCTCAGTTTTCCATGGAGTTTCTCTGGCTCCTCTGTGTTTGCATGGAGTCTGAATGTGAGTGGACGCTCGGTCCTTCAGCACATTCCTCAAGTTGTGCTCTTCAGGGAGCAGGAATTTCTGGGAAAAACAATCTCCTTGAAGCTTTAATTCCACTGGATCCTGCTCCTTGCTCCAGGAGTGTTGTCCTCACGCAGCCACAGCACCCAGTGGTGGAGCTGCTCTGGACACACCAGGTGACAACTGAGGATGATTTCCAGCTCATTCCAAAGAGGAAAAGCCCTCAGAGCTCTCACCCCCTCCTTGCCCACCCTCACGTTGATGACAACTCGGCTGAATTGGTTTTCCCACCCCAAAAGCATCCATAGAACATTCCAAACCCATTTAATTGTTTTTCCCACCCCAAAAGCATCCATAGAACATTCCAAACCCATTTAATTTGTTTTCCCACCCCAAAAGTGTCCATAGAACATTCCAAACCCATTTAATTGGTTTTCCCACCCCAAAAGCGTCCATAGAACATTCCAAGCCCACTGAATCAGTTTTCCCATCCCAGAAATGTTTCTAGAACATTCCAATCGCATTTAATTGGTTTTCCCACCCCAAAAGTGCCCGTAGAACATTCCAAGCCCATCCTTGTGGCCGAGCCAAACACAACAGAACCTTTTTTATTTATCCCTCTCAGATCTTCTGGACACTTTTTATTTATCCCTCTCTGCTCTGCTGAACTTTTTTCAATTAATCACCCTCTGATCTCCTTTATTTCCAGCTCATCTTTGAAGGAATCCGTGGCCCTGGAATCGAAGGGGACATTGCTATTGACGATGTGTCCATTGTGGAAGGAGAGTGTATGAAATCAGACCAACCGGCCAACAGTAAGTGGCCCTTCCCCACAGGTTGCTTCCCGTCTTTCTACTTCCCAGATGGATCTTTTCCAGCAGAACAATCCCTGCTCTGGTTCAGCTGGAAGGATGGAATGTTGTCCTTGGGAATGTTTTGCTCACAAGGGAAGATGATGGGTGTGAGGCAGAGGTGAGAGCAGCGGGGGAGGCTGGGCTGGATTTGAGATGCTCAGGCAGATAAAACATCAGAACAATGTCCAGGGGGCCCAAACAAGGTGAAATCCATGGATATCACTGCTGTGATTCCCTGAGGGCTCTGTCTCATCCCTCCACCCTGTGTGTGCATTAAAACAGAGGTGAGTACACAGCCAGGTGGATTTTCATCCCAGCTCCTGCTCGATCCAATTGCTGAGGGCTGTCCTTGTCCCCTCCTGCTGGGAGGTGACTTTGGAACACTGGAGCAGTGCCAGGGGGCGTGGGCACCTCTGTAATTCTATTTTCCTCCCCTTTCTGCAGATCTACGATCAGGTGCTGTTGGGCCATTAGCGCATATACGACTTCTCCCACTCCTCATCCTCATGTCTGTCTTAAGTCATCAGAGGTGACCTTATCCTGGCAGAGGCTACAAAAGATTCACCAGGCACTGGCATGAAGAAAGAGTCTTTGTAAAATGGACATTTCCAAACAAACTACCAAAGATTCCTCCACTGACTGACTCGAAAGTTAAATAAACGCGTAAATAAATAATTAAAAAAGGGAAAAAAAAAAAAAAAAAAAAGAGCAGATTAAGAAAGCACTGGGGACTTGAAAAGGCATCACGGGAGTGGAACTCACTAAGAACCAAGCTTGAGACCAAGATCTGGCCTAAGTAAGGAAGAGACCTTCAGGTGCTTCAGTGGTCACTGATGAATTCAGCATCATCTGGTTGAACTCTCGGCAAAGAGCTCTAGAAACCCTTGTCAAAGCACAAAGTCATGGCTGGTTTTGTTTCAAATGAATCGTTTGCTTGTTACCATGGAAACCGAATGGCCTGCCAAAAAAAAAGGAGGAAGGAGAGAGAGAGAGAGGAAATACAAACACAGAGAGAGAGAGAAACACCTCACTGTAAACAGGGTACGTGAAGAGCTGGCGTTCATTTTCCCTTCCCGAAGGTTTTTAGCGTAGAGTTAAACAAATGTCAGCCCTTTCTATTTCGGCTGCCACCTCCCCTCGAGGATAACCCGGAATCGGAGCTGTTTGCAGACATTCCCGTTTCATTCCTCACGGCTCTGCTTGGTGACTGTGTGCTGTCTCCTTTTGCATGCATTCCCATCCAGGATGTGCCACCTGGGCTCACATTTGTCACAGGCTTCACTGGGAGTTTGCTCGCGGCCGCTGGAAGATCCCTCTCCCCTCCCCACCGGAGTCATCAGCTCTACGGAAGTGAAGAAACCAAACCACCGTCTTTTATAAATTGCCATGGAAACCAAGTGCCTTCAATGAAACAAGCCTGATTTCAAAAAAACAGAAACAAAAAAAAAGAACTATATATATATATATGTGTATATATATATATATATATATATATATAAAAAATAATTCTAATAAATGTAATAACGATGATTTCAACACGGAAGCTTTGCACCGCTAAAAACGTGGGTTGTGCAAACTCTTTTCTAAACAAACTCTGGAGCCTGGGTGTGCAGGCAAGGAGACGGAGCCGCTTCTGGAGAAGGATGGATGGACCTAAGCTGCTGTGAAAAGCCTTTGGGATGAGATCCGTGTTGTGTCACCTTCCAGACAGCCATGGCCTTTCAGCTTCTTATCCATTCGGAACAGCTCCCGTAGGTGCTGCCCGTGGGAGCAGCACTTTCTGTTGTTGTCGTCGTCGTTTCAGGTTCTCCAGTGGGTCAACCAGAGGAACAAAGGTGGTTCAGACACACACTTGGTGCAGAAGGTGGTGAAACACGGGATGATTTTCTTACTCTCCCCCTCCGTTGGGATGGCTCCCAACATCCGGAGCTCCGGACGCCCCGAGGGGGCTCTGCCTCTGTCCCGGAAACCAGACTTGGTGCAGAGGGTGAAAGATTATTTTGTTATTGTAGCGAAATTCAAAAAACAAAACAGAACAAAAAATTAAAAAAAAAAAAAATTAAAAATAATCCACTTTTACAAGGAGAAAAAAAAAAAAATAAATAAAAGCTGTACAAAATGGGTTCGAGCTACCCGAACACATGCCGGTTTTCCACTGCATTGTAAAGTTCCCTTCCAGTTGGTTATGAAATTTGAAGACCTTTTTCCTTAAATTATCGCAGCTTTTAACTTCATTTAAAAAAAAAAAAAAAAAAGACTTTTGTCTAAAGAAGAGTATTATTATTATAATTATTATAATTATTATTATTATTCTGTGTTCTCTCGACACCCTAGGATTAAAAACAAAAACCTGATATGCAAATAATTGGAGTACAAATGTGAAAACAAACAAAAGATGAGTATAATAATTGCAAATATGAGTATAAAAAGCACAACGAGATGCAGTAAAACAATGACAAGGCTTGATTTTTTTTATTCTGTAGAGAAATGTTTGTGCAAATTCAGTAATTCCACTGAAGAGATAATTTTCCAGCTCTGTTCAATAAAGCCTCTTTCCAGGTAAGGCAGCCCCGTGGTGCGTGTGTTTGTTGAGGCCCTGGAGGGGCTTTCCTTGGTCCACTGGTGTCAGCTGGAGTTGTGCTGGTCCATACTGGTGGTGCTGGAGCATTCCCAGGATGCTCTCGGCTCCCTGGTTTTTAGGCAGTTTTGGTGTCTTTAAGTTCCTGGGCTCAGAAAACGGTGGGAGCTCCAAGTCAGGACATTTTCAGAGAATTTCAGAGGTTTAGGTCGGAAGGGACCTTAAAGTTCATCCCTGGAATCATGGAATATTCAGGGTTTGAAGGGACCTGCAAGGATCATCAAGTCCAAATCTGAACCGGATGGTCCACACAGGGATCAAACCCCAAACCTTGGGGTTATGAACATCTTGCTCTGTTTGGAAGATGGTGGGAACTCCGAGTCTGGATGGACCATGGGGTTTGGAAAACAATGGGAGTTCTGAGTGTGGATGGACCACGGGGTTTGAAAGGAAGTGGGAAGCTCCAAATCCGGATGGACTATGGGGTTTGGAAAGCAGTGGCTCTGACTCTGGTGGACCATGAGGTTTGGAAGATGGTGGGAACTCTGAGTCTGGTGGCCTGCGGGGTTTGGAAGATGGTGGAAGCTCCAAATTTGGATGGACTCTGTGGTTTGGAAGACATCGGGAATTTCGAGTCTGGATGGACTGTGGTGTTTGGAAGACTGGGAACTCCGAGTCTGGATGGTCTGTGGGGTTTGGAAGGAATTGGAACTCAGAGTCTGATGAACTGTGGGGTCCAGAAAGTGGTGGGAACTCTGAGTCTGGATGGACCATAGGGATTGGAAGAAATTTGGAACTCTGAGTCTGGATGGACTGTGGGGTTTGGAAAATGGTGGGAATTCTGAATCTGGTGGCCTGTGGGATTTGGAACTCTTGATGGACCGAGGCGTTTGACACCCTTAGCACAAATCACGGAATTTCTCATGGGAAGCTCTGGATTTTAACTGTGGATGGATGGATGGATGGATGGATGGATGATGGATGGATGATGGATGGATGGATGGATGGATGGATGGATGGATGGATGGATGGATGGAGAAGGAGGTCAGGTGTAGTGAGACCCTGAGGCAGATTTTCCTTTGGAGGTTGGTATATTTGGGAATTCAGGATCCAAACCTTGCCATGCATTTTCCCATGGATGTCTCCTGAGAGCCAGGGAGCTGAGGGGTGATCCAAGAGGTTTCTCCATGGGTGATTTTGGCAGGACTCCCTTTGGAAGGGAGCCAGAGTGGCTGTCTGTCAGTCATTTCCACAGAATCCCAGAAGGTTTTGGTTGGAAAGGACCTTAAAATCTCATCCCATTCCAGCCCCACAGGCAGGGACACCTTCCACGGACCAGGCTGAAGGAAAACAGGAAGCATTCCATTGCCTTTAAAATACTTCCCTGCTTTTCCCTCGAATTTCCCTCGAAAATCCAAACTGAATCTTAGATGCCCACTGGAGATGAATTTTCCAGGCACAGGGCTGGCGGTGGTGGCGTGATGGGAACTCTGTGGGAAGTCTGGATTTTGGAAGTGCCCTGTGATTCCCCCCTGTGATAAAGGAGTTGGATGATAAGGAAGCAGAGATCCCGCTCCGTTGTTTAGATCCCAAGCTAAAACTGCAGGCTGAAATCCATGTTTCCTCTTTCTATTTGGGTTTTCCTTTCCCTCATTCCCATGGAATATAAAGAATTTCGATTGACAAAGACCACAGATGCCCTTTTTTCAGGGCAGAATAATCTGTGTGTCCCGAAAATCCCAGGTTTTTGTGGGAAAGGAAATGTATTCCCATGCCTATTCCCGTCTTACTCTGGGGTGCAGGAGGTGCTAAGAAAAGCAGGATTCCTCTTCCTAATGTTGATTGTAGGAGTTGTTTTATCTTCTTTTACATTCCCAAAATAAAGCACTGAAAAGGAAATGGGATTTTACTCCAGGCCATGAATAAGAAGAACAAATTGAGATATGAATTTCCTACTCTTGGCTTTTATTTTATTTTACATTTTGGACTGAAAATGGATGTGAAAATGTTGGATCAGCAATCAAAGGCAGTTGGAACTGGCAGTTCCCTGGAATTTGAAACCCCTCTGATTCAGTTCTGGGGTATCCAACCTTGAAATGTCCCTGATGGATTTTTAAACTGAACATCAAATACTGAACTGTGCAGCAACTGAAGTCCTGGGATGTTGGGAAAAGTGGCTGGGTTTGATGGGATGGCTGCAGGAATTATCTGGGTGTTCCCAAGGCAGAGGAGGGTGGAGAACAGAATAAGTTTTCCAGTTTTTTTCAGTTTTCTCAGGCTGATCTGGGAGGATAAGGACGGCATTGGAGAACTTTCCTTTTTCATTCACAAAGCACATTGAATGGGAAATCATGGAATCGTAGAATTATGGAGTAGTTTGGGTGAAAGAGACCTCAAATCCCACCCCTGCCATGGCAGGGACACCTCCCACTGTCCCAGGCTGCTCCAGCCCCAATATCCAGCCTGGCCTTGGGCACTGCCAGGGATCCAGGGGCAGCTTCTCTGGAAAACAATCCCACATAAAATCATGAAACACTCGGATCTCACCCTGCTGCTAACCCACCTCTTCTCCAGCCTGGCCTGGATCCTGGATGGGACACAAGGAGGGATAAAACCATGGATTAGAAGGGACTAAACCCATTCCAATGACACCATGGATGAACAATTAGGAAGGCCATAAGTGTCTGGGAATGTGAAATTTCCTTCTAATTTAAGACAGGAACTACTGGTTTCCCCGAAAGTGATGGAGCTGCATCTTCCAGCCTCCAAACATCTGCAAGTCCCAACCTCCACTGATCCCAGAGCTTTTCTTGACATCCAGCATTGGAATTCCCGCTGCATCCACCATGGAGATGGAATAATCAGTTTGGGGGTGACTTTAAAACAAAGTCAGTCATCATCTTCTTGTTTGTTTTCTCTTTTCCTGCCTAGTCAGGACAGTGAATTCCCTCTGTAGGGAGCAGTTCAGGCAGAAGGATCCAATTTTTTTCCATGCTGAGTGGAAGAGGCTTTTCTGGTTTTATTTTGGGAGAGTTTACTGGCTGGGAATGTTTTTTTCTTATATTGAAGGGTAATTGAAACTCTCTTCTTCCCCCAGAAGTGTGTGATCTGTCAAGAAAACAGCTTTT